TTTTGATATACTGTATTTACTCAACAAAAAATGCACTTTTTTCAGATTTTAGTATATCTGAAAATAGGGTACATCTTAGATTTGATCTAATATCTCATAATTAGCTACCTCTAATGCCAAACATCTTATTTCTCTATAACTAATTCCATTATATCATTTTAATGATTTTCATAGTAGTTGAATACTCATAATATTCATAATAGTGAATACTTAAGAGATCAACTTAACTTAATCTCATTAGTCTATTCAGGTCTCAGGGTGTCATTTCTTCTCTAAAAAAAGTGAGTGCAATAATGACAAAACAAAGTAAAAACATGGAAGGAAAACTGAGCAAAACAGCAGTGAAAGCCATGATTCCTCCTTTTATTCTCTTACAGCTAAATATATGAAAAAATTTTTGCATATATTTCCAGTAAATTATAAACACTTAAAAATCAGAATCTTTAATCTTTATCATTTATATACTCTTATAATTTATTGTATTCACTTATATGCAGCTTTACAACAAAGAATAATAAACTGTACTCTAGTAACAGCAACTCAAAATTATTTCTTTTCTATGAGCCAAAATTTGAGAACTCCTCTATTAAGTCTTTTGCTTCTTCTGAAAATAATGAGCCATGAAAGATGATGTTTTTTTATTAAGATTTTTCTGAAAGTTTTCAGCTTCCTTCTTTTTTTGCTTCTTGCTTCTGAACACATTTAACATTTACAAGCATTGCATATGCCACCCATATGTCAATTATGTTCTTTCTATTAATCACCTTTCCAGTTTTTTGCTTGATACTTTTAACAAAACTTGATCTGATTCATGTATTTCACTTTCTTTTACTTTTTTCTGTTTTAAACTCTGCTACAGTGCTGTAAATCTTCTTGTCACGAGAAGCTTTCTTTTTTGTTATTCAAAATGTTTCTGTGTCCCATCTTCTAGTCTTTTTTCTGTTTCTCATTCCTTTAGCTTCTTTAAATTTTCCAATTGTTCTTGATAATTTCTGTGTACTAAGGTAGCTAATTTAAGTATATCCCTTGTGTAATAAGTACAAGATATGGGGTTTGGTCATATATGTTTAGTCTCTCTTTAACAATCAAAAGTGAGTCTGAAAAGAGTCCATTTACCTCTCTCGTCCCATCTTTATATACAGAGGTGGGCAACCCATGGCTCCTGGGCCACATGAGGCCCACATTAATATTTTATATGGCCTGCATTGCACAAAATATTAATATATCAATTTCCCAACTTAAAGAAGTATGCAGCAAAAATTCTATCATTATTTTCTTCAACTTATGTTTGTGAACAGTTTCCTCTGCAACAAATTTAGTAAAAAGTGAAACAAGAAATCAGCTAACAGACTCACATCAAAAATAACTCAAAACTAGTAATGAATAATATTTAACCAAATATTTTGATATATTACATTCACATCAGTTTCAGAAGTCATATTAAGTATATTTATGTCAATTTATAATCTTATATCAATAAATAATTGATTTACCCACAGTTTTTTTTCAGTACACAGCCCATGTCAGTTCGAAAGTTTTAAATGTTGCCCTTAACATAGAAAAAGGTTGCCCATCCCTATTTATATATTACACTAACATCCACTAGAGTATATATGATAGTCATACAGTGATTGTCACACTCCCTTTTAACATTTTAATATGATTTATTTCCTTTTGAATATACAAAGTTCCTTTCTATCAACTTTTTATATTTTACAGTTTAATACACAATACAGTGTTTCTGTAATCAATTGTGAAAATGCAATTGATCTTTTAGAGATAACTTACTCAACTCATTGGTAACCTCAGCACTGCAAATAATTTCTTTGGATCTGATACATTACTATCAGGCATAGCAGACTTAGACTGAAAGACAAGCCTCAAAATATCTATTTTCAAATTACTTTCAAAATTCTAGTAACTAACTTTTGAAAACTTCCACAGCTTTCTATATAGAAGATATATTAGAGATTCTCCTCTTTGAAAAAATGATGTATATTTTATGAAAATTTCTGCAGTCGAAATGCCATGAAGCACTTCTGCTTCCACGAAAGGAATGGTCAATAAACAAGATACATTAAACAAATAGCTTATCAAAACATGACTAAATGAAAAGGGCTTATCACATCAGGTAAACAAGGTACAAAATAAACTTTAAACAAGATACACTTTTGCACAAAGTACTTGACATTAGGTTTTTGTTTATTTGAAGAAACATACTTTAAGTAGGAGTTGATTAGGCCCCCCCCACTGCTCAACCTCATTGCTGCATCATGGAATTTCAGTCAACATGTTGTTTAGTGTTTTATAAATACAGTACATTGATAAATATTAGACTGTTGATTAAAATCATACTTTTTGTATTATTTTCTTCTGTTTTTTCATAATATTATTTAAGGAATGAGTATTTTTTCATGTTATTCTTATTCTCTGTTATATCCAAAACACTTTTAATAAATTTTTTATATGGCAACATCATAAATATAGAAAATATTAACTTTACACTACAAAACAGAACTGATCAAAATTCTTATTAAGGTATGGCAGCATCACTCATTTATGAGAACAAAAATAAAAAAATATATAAAGAGTATTCCTTGTGATATAGAAGCACTATTGGATGTTAAAGGTGGTCATTCAAAATATTAATTTTAACTTTTAATTTTTTAAGTTCAATTATATTCAAATTTTTATATGCCTAAACTTACTTTTAATTTTATAAGACATAATAAAACATTAATATTTTAAATAAGCTTATCAACAATTGCATTTTTATTGAATTATTACATCAAAAACTAACAAAACATCAATTTTTTGCATAGGTCTAATAATTTGGCAGGGTACTATATACATTTGGGCAACTTAAACTTTTCTGCACAGCTTCATAGCCTTCCTGTCAAGTGGGTCATCCATCAAAAAATCTATAAACTGCCATAATAAATAATGATGCATTGTCACCCAGTTCATTTAATGCTTTAAGATACATGTTATGAATAATGTGAATCAGACATGTTCCAATGTCAACAAGGCTCTTCCTAAGAATTCCCAGTATATCTTCCTTAAAAAGTTACAACACTTTTTGGTTAACATTTGAACTGTCTGATCCTATCATTACAAGTTTGTGCAGTGATAGAATTGCATCATTGATGACCTTGGTAATGTGTGCATGCAATCAGAAATCGGGGCTGGACCAATATAATTTCAAGCTCAAGCAGACTCCTTGAACGATTCCCCAAAGTATTTTTTTTATACTTATGTAGTTTCTAAATAATTACTAATGGTGACATCATCACAATGCTGCACTGCAATTTTTTATTATATCTTAATTTAAAAAAGCATATGACTTCCAGTCCAGACTTGAAGTTTGTATATAGGTAATTGGGATATCTGTTCCACAAGCTTTCTATATCTGGTCTGAATTTCATCTGTAGATGAAATCTGAGACTAGAAGTTATACATAACGCCATTCTTAAGATTAAAGGACGGGCAGACAGTGGATAGCTAATATGAAAATTGCATCCCAATAATTATTTTACAAAATATTAGTAATTTCATAACCTCAATATTTCTAGTTTAATTTTTATTAACTCAGATATATATATATAGATTTATTTTGCAGATTTAAAATCAAGAAAATATATATATATTTTTTCTATTATATAA